TGCTGCTCTCCCTCCTTTCACATCAGGAAGTCCGGATAATGAGCCATTGACATTGCCTGATCCTGTCAGAGGCATTGATGGAAGTTTGGTACATCAAAATTTGATCATGACCAGTTTTGAAATCAACAAAGAGAATGTCGGATTCAGTTTTCAGATAAGACCTGATGATAACAGCACAAAATCTCAGTATCTAATTGTTGCCAGGTAATGACAAGTGCATAATTGTTTTGAAGAAATGTTCTTGAATATCCAAATAAATACTACTGCTGCCCTTAGTAGATAGAGGTTAATTTTGTTTAAAAAAGGAAGCAGTATTGCTGCCAGTGCAGTGACATCTGTCAAAATGAAGATCTTTGTATATCCAAAAGTGTGGGTTTGGAGGAGGGGGGGGGGAATCTAGATTACCCCTCCCCCTCAACCCTTTGGGTTTGATAAATATATGCTAAAAGCTCGGAGAATGGGGAATGATTTCTCTAGACATTCTAACATTTCATTTCATCCTTGACATTTGCGTTCTGAGTTTGACTCTATATCTTAGTTTCTACTTCTGGTCAACTGATAGCACAATACTGCCATTTTTTGTCGACAATGGCACTCGCTTCCTTTACTCTATCACGTGTTGGCAATTATTCAGGCAAAAAACAAAAATCAAATTGTCAATTTAAGGCCCAATTGGAGGCGGTCACTGTTAACGCCTGCTATTAATTAGGTTTTAGAATAGTTTCTTATCCGATAACTATTGGACTCTATCATGGTTGACATTAAATTGAAATAGCGTGATTTCCTATAAATGAATTTGCAACTGCCGCATTTTAGATACATATATCCTCCAACTATTTCTTCTGAGAAACAAAGTTGGGGAATTGTGTGGGGAATCGTGCCACCATCACCAGACGTATATGGTATGTAATGTTCAGCCTCCCATTTACTCCCTCTCCCCCACCCACATCCCATTCTGTGTCTTCGCCTCTAACTGACTAGTCCCTTTCTACCTCTTTTAGATGATCAGTCCATCACAGTTGAGCAATGGGAAGCCAACTTCACCTTCTTTATCGACAACATACGACTCACTGAAATGCGAAAGGAAGCTCTTGATCATGCTGAAGGCAAGAAGTTGAAACTCAACGAGACGAAAACCCTCTACGTCGGCTTCAGAGAATGTAGTAAGGGAGAAAAGACACTGGATTTGGAATCTCTCTCAATTCCACTCCACCTTGGTCTTCAAATCAATACCACTTTAACCTTCAGAGGATTTACAACATCTTGTAACTTTATTGAAAAAGACTCGAAACAGTGGGAAAACAGGAATTGCAGGGTAAATCGACAAGAAT